ATGCTCATTTTAAAATTATTTTGTGATATTGCTATTGAACTGAATTTTATGGTTTGAGTGCGAAGAACCTGATATTGAATAAATAAAGGTAACACATAAAATGTAAAAAAACGCCCCTTTGGACGCAATTTAAAATCTGAAACATTTCAAATTTTTTAAAATTAAATTGATTCATTAAGACATAACTTGTTCCGATATTACTCATAAGAAAATACGTCTTTTCATTTTAGAAGTTAGAAAAATACAAATAATTTGAGTAATTACTCGAAAGAATGCAAGATTCAGTTCAATTAAAAGAAGATTAATATAAAAGTTGATACTTGAAAATTCAAAAGAGCAAACAAATGTTTAGTGCCGTTGTAAGTAATTTTTACAAAATGGTGCATGTTTACCAACAGGGGAAATTCAATGTAAAAGCTTTTATTTCAGGATAATTAAAGAGAATGAAAAGTATTAATGCAATCTGAATGATGCATAAAAATCTGAAATTTATGTGGCTTCTTGCCATATAACAATCTATGACATATAAATATTTTCTGCTTTGAATACTCTAACTCTCAAAATTGAAAAAAAAAAGTATTTACAATTTCAGTTCAGTAGTTCATCAAGCTATAACTCAGAATCCACAGCTTTGTTCATAATTGTCTTGTTGCTCCTTGAAAAGAGCAAAAGATTATCAGATTTACTGAATGTTTTGTTTAGGATTTAATTTGGTTTCCGTTTTAAGGATAGATTTCCCTTTTTTTTTGCTTTCTTCATGTAGTAGAGTCATTAAGATTTTTGAAGCAGGAGACGTGAAAAACGTGCACTGCCCTCCCCGGGACTCGAGGTTCTACCTCTCTAATACGCTCCGACTGTGCTACCGTTACATTACTAAGGCATGCTGGAAGGAGGGAGAAAATAGCTTTTATACTTGTACTTCCCCTTTTAAAGGGCGATTGGGGATTAGGGAACCCAGTCGCCAAATGCTGCTGGTGAAGAATCATCATCCACCACCATATAAACTTATACTTTTTGATAACCCTTTTGTTTTAGTTTCTGCGTTCTGTTGATATTTTCTATTATTTGGAATAATGCATTAGAGATTTAGCACAGTTGAAACCGTTAAACTGTTGAAACTGTTTTGACGCATTTAAATGATTTTAGAGCTAATTGTGAAAAGTATTTTTTTGTAATTCACAACGCTTTGTAGAACCAGAAAAATAATGTAAAGTTCTTGCAAAATAGAAAAAAATTATTGTTGTTTCTGTAGACGCTGCACCTGGTTAACGCAGAACACCCAACACATAAAACAAAAATACTGTTAAAATCATCAGATCAAAATTCCCAATATTATTCTATTGCTTTTTTTTAAGTTCATCAAATCCTTTGCAAAATTGCTCTTTGCTTTGGCAATAAAATTCCTTTATGCTGCCATGTTTTTCCCGAACATGTCACAATAATACGCAGTCTTCGACAAAATGTGTTGCATTGCCTTCAGCACTACAAAATATTTTGCAAATTAAATATTTTCAATTATTCCGGGAAGTGCTCTGACTGGTAAATATTTGATTGTAATAAATATCACATATCATTTGCAAGGCCAATAATCTAATTATTGACAAAATTCTTTTTAGAACTCTTCTCTAATACTGAATTTACATATCCATAATTCGTTGATATTCAGCATCAATAGGTTTTTTTTCCTGCTTTAACTGAATGTCCAATTCTTTCCATGCTCTAAAAGCATATATATTTATGATTTACAGGACTGTTATAAGATTTCCTCAGCCAGATTAGCACTTTCTGGGCCAGTCAGTAATAACAAAGGAATTGTGACATAATATACAATAAAAGCAAAAAACGGCATCATTTGTAACACAGTAAATCAACCACCTTCTTTCAATGACAGCACCAATGCTCAAAACTTTCAACTAAAGCAAAGGCGAAAAATCTGCGCTTTCCTTTATTAATAAGAAATCTGGATTTTATAATTCAATATGAATCCCTCTCATCCAGGTATTTGACGGGTTTCATATGACATGCAGAAAGCATTCCATAATACAGTGTCAGAAGGTTTGTTTTAGTTTATTATGGCACTAGAGCTATCTGCCTAAGGGAAGGGATGCCTTCGTGGAGGACTTTCTAAAGGAAACTGGCTCGTATACACGTCACACATGAGGACAACCCCGAAAACGCCCATGCAGCCTCGCCTGGATTCGAACCCAGGTCGAAATTACCATTGTTCACTGCTACCCGGCTCTTGATGGTGTTATTTGGTGGCTTTTTTAATAACTTCTTCTGGAAGTAATAGAAAAGGCACAGAGTTTGCATTTGCCAAATACAAAGCAGTCACTGCTGATGCGGATGTGAACGGCTCATCTAAAGAGGAATTTTGTATTAAGAATTCTTTTTCGTAACGTAACTTAGCTTTCTTCCTTGTTTCTCTTTCTTTAAGCATTTTTTATATCGTCTTCCAGACAATTTATTTTCCTTTTTTGTTCTATATTGTAATAAAAATATTAAATAAAAGTTTCATAGTTTTTTTTAATTCGAGCCCTTATTTTCATAATATAATCCTTTTCGATGATTAACTAGAATTGCCGTAAAAACAATAGTTCTCTTGCCTGATCTACTTTTTAAAACCGAAAAATGAATTAGTTTAAATGCCAAAGTATTATATTTATACAGATATGATATATATCTAATTCACTGATTTAAACACAACCATTTGCTCCTTCTATAGACAAACTATCATTAAAATTAAATATTGTCAAACTCTAAGCAGAACTATCATCACGTTACACTTGCAACTGTCTCTTGTGATAATTGCAGCCTCCGCTTTTCGGAGCCTTCGTGTAGTATATTGCAAACAAAAATAAGAACTTCACACTGCCATATCAAAACTCTTTCGGTAAGCACTCGCCAGTGATGTACCTTTACTTGAAACAGACATCAAAGGTACCAAAGGCCATCAGCGTTAAACGGTTGCCGAACGTTGGTAGTTCGGTACAAAGTCGAATCCTGGCAAAAGGGCTGGCTGCATGGGTCTTTTCGTGGTTTTCCACATGCGTAACATGGGTATGAGCAAGTCAGTTTCTCTTTAGGTTTGGTTTATTTGATTATAGCAAAGCAGTCGAGGACTAACTTCCTAAAGAGAAGGATGCTTTCGTGGAGGATTTTCTAAGGAAAACTGGCTCGTATACATGTTACACATGGGGAAAACTACGAAAACGCTCATACAGCCAGCCCGTTCTCCGGGATTCAAACCACGGACCGAGCTTCTAGTGTTCAGCGACTTTACCGCTCGGCCGCTGGTAGACCCTAATTTCCTTTAAAGTCTTTCACGAGGTATTTCTTCTTTTTGCGAATACCACTGTGTGCGACGCCGTAAAAAAGACTAAAATGCGGGGTACCGAAAACGCTTAGACAAAAGCGTGTCACAAATCATTCACATCAGTGTCGAAATAACATAGACTAATATAGAAAAGTATTGCGGAAAGATTTTTAATAATTGGATAGTTTGAACAATATTTTGATTTCACTGCTTATGCCATTCCCTTACAGTGTCGCCTGATGCGGCCACTTCTATGTATTCTTAGCACTACACGGCCCTGGCTGTTTGTATGTTCCTGTCAGAATATCGTTGAAGTACTCAGCAAATCTAAATAAAAAAATGTCCGATTAACAATTATACGTTTAAAATATTATGAGAAACGCAATAATTATGAATGATTAATTACTCATCTAAATGCCTCATCTGACGAAATCTTTGCAGAAGAGCCTAGCTTCGTAAATCTCAGGTTTTTTCCATGTGCTATAGCAGTTATTCATGCCTAATTAAATATCAGAATTATATATTCATAAACAGAATATCTGATATGCAGAATTTCAGTGATGTCACCAGAAAATCTGAGAAATATCCCCAAACTATGGAAGAAACGTAAACTGTTTGCAGATATTTTTATTGAAATATTAATTCTTTTATATCAAAAATTCATTTGTGCAGATAATAATCAATAATGTGCAGATATAAAGTCAAGATTTTCTCACATTGGTAATATGCTCCGGATTCGGTACCAGAGGACTGAATGAACTCGATGTGGATCGTTTTCGTGTTACTTTGCTGAACATAACTATGAATTAATTCCCTATGAAAGTTCTCGACGAAAGCATCTCTCTTAAGTCAGATAGCCTTTAAATGCTCTTCCAACTGGTGGGTGAAAGGATGAAGCCATCGACTTATAGTGCATTCACCTTTCATTCCAAAAGTTTGAATAGGATAGCTGCATCAAGATTTCCTTATATGAAAGGTTAATATGGTCCCTTTCCTTTTCCATGAAAAATGAAGGCATCCCTCACAATATGTTGACAAGTCTTACGGTTCGCGATTAATTAATAATCCAGTACAATCCTCGATTTGTTTGACATGATTTGACTCAAATTCTTTGACATGACGTTTAATGAGACACTTTCTTTCGCAGAAACAGTAGAAATTTTACAAATGCTAAATATCTCTCTAATCTATATAGCTTATATAAGCCCCTTTCATTAAATGTAAAATAAATTTAAGATCAATTCAGTAACAAGATCGGCTCTAACAATAACTTGTGCTTAATTTATTTATTCTTTTGTCTAAAAATCAAGTTTTTAAACATTTGCATATAATGTTTCAAGTAAAATTTTTTGATTTTAAGGTAAATACGATTACACGGAAGAACTCTTTTTCTTAAAATTAAAATAAACAACATCACCTAAAAGATTTCTTTTCTGTTCCGCCCACAAAAGCTGTTTCAGACAATGCTCTCAGAGCAGAAACAGTCGAGTCTTTGTTACGTAATCCCAAGAATGCTAAGAATGTTATCTGCAACAGTTGGGAACATTTTGCTTCAAACTTTCCAAGGCTAAAAAGTTTTCGTTGGCGCCTCATTAGGTTTGGCGACACTTTTGGCGTGTAACACGACGCGCATGCTCTCGACTGTTTCTAAATCTTGGAGGAACAGCTGTAACCTCGAATCTCTGTGATGGAATCCAAACTCATGTGGAGTCTGAGACAATACGGACGTTGTAGCGAACAGAGGCGCGCGGGAACCGACACTTCGCGTGATTTAAAAGTTACGTTTTTGCGAAGTGTTTATTGCTGAAGAAATTAATAACAAACTTTAAAACTCGCACGAGAAAGAACATTAGTGCAATTTCCTAGCGGAATGATGTATAGTAAATATTAGTTATATTAATATTTTAAGGAAGCGTTTAGTCTAAAAGGTTAGTGTTCTTATTTGCTTCTTGCATGCTTGATGCTTATACGAAAAAAGATTTCTGCCCTCGAAAATAACTACTTCCTATATTTACAACTGACATCTGATCAGTCGTTTCTTCTAAGATTTTGGACATAATACTAATCCGTTCTTTTAAAGAAATTTTATTTTCGATTACACGCTGATTTAATTTTTTTGTCGCTTATGAAGCACTTAATAAACATATAAAAATTTTACTAAAAGCTTCAATTTTATCTCAATACATTTTGTTTGTATGTTACTGGACCAGATTGAAAAATAACAGTGTATATGTGAAGTTTAAACGCGAGAAAGAAAATACACAGAATTATATTTATGCTCTACCACTTATATGATAGAAGAAAAATAGTTCATCTTCCGAATCCAAAACTTATCGCAAGATCTGAAAAACACTGAGAAAAGTACTTGTGTAACAGTGTTTAGCGAACTACTTAAGTTTTGATGAACAATATCTCCGTTTGATACTGTTTGTATAAGAAACTAATTAGTGATTTTGGGAAACGAATTTATATACTTTCATACCATTTTGAATGCAGTATTTAGCTTAAGACTAGAAATTGCGACAAATTTGCTTCGGAAGTATATGTTACATTTTAAAACGAGGCAACCATCTCAGTAAAGAAATATTAAGCCAATCATTAAAAAAGGGACATTTATCAGTTTATTGACGAACTGTATTACCACATCTCATCTCTATGGGAAGGATAAAAGTTTCGATGGATGACGACAGAAAGTAGTAAGTACTTTGTTTTTCATTTCTGCTTAAATCATATTTTGTAGTTGCTTAAATTCATGAACTACCCCTTGGAAAGAATAGTAAACTTTAACTTTTGTAAAATATTTCCACTTATTGCTTATTTTATTAAATACATTTTTTATCTGCGTATTTAACAGTACCGCTGCTGTTAAAATTCAATTTCAGAATTTTATTTTTGTTAATTAAAATTTCTCAGAAAGAGGTGTTAAGTATATTAGGAACAACACATGAAAAATTTCAGTTAGAAAAAACAGTTTCATAGTGTTCAAAGGCTCAAGATTTTAAAACTCGACTCAAATTATGACGCTCTTTTTCTTACTTTAAACAGATGACGAATAAATTAATGATAAAAATTCGTTAGTGAGTAACCACTATTCCTTAACTCCAAATAAATGTTTGGAGAAATAAAATGCATGATCAGAACGGAGATTTCTGGAGAATGTTTAACAGATAATAAATGAATCTTAGCATTAGCTTAAGAAGAGTTGATTTTATGGTGCAACATGCACCATAAAATCATGATATGAATAATAAATGACTAATAAAAATATGATATGAATAATAAATGACTAATAAAATCACCATAAAATGACTGATAAATATTTATTGTAAAGCATTAAAAACTTGAAAAACGGAGATTTTTACTTTCTATTTTATTGAAAGTTGAGAAAATATTATTTTGTTATTTTACTCCCTTCTTTGCATATACCATCACCCCTCCAAACACACACACAAATAATACTTTAACCTAAATTAAGTTTCCCGGAACAGTTTAACCATCAAACAGCTATTTAACAAATCGTGCAAGGATCTGAAGGTTTGGATAGCTCTTGACACTATTATCAGCTTAAAGTACTTCACATTTCTTAAAGTTAATGAGTTTCGGGCAATATTAACAATAAGTGAAAAATTTCTTTAGGGAAAGTAGCTTAAAAATAGGGATTTTAGATTTAAAACCTTGGCTCATCGTTTCCGATCTCATTTTTATTATTTATTTTAATTAAAAGTAATTCGTTCGAGTTGTTATTTACAATAACTAATTAACTACAGAGATTAATTTTATATTTATTCAAGCAAAGTCTGCAATAATTATTTTACGGTACGCAATTTAACACTTCCAGTTTACTGGTAAATTAACTCATGGTACTACTCAAATTGATGAAGAAATATGGTTGTTAAGTATTTTTATGGGCCTGAGGAATCATGATACATTGCTGTCTTACTGAAGAAAGTGAAATGTTTTGTCTTTACAGCCCAGTAACTATTTTTGATTGAACATAATGATGAGTGCTCAAGGTTTCGAAGTATACAATCATGATTTATTAATGTTAGAAATGCGTCAGGGAGCCATTTAAATATACATCTTGAAATGTATTATTCATAGACTTAATAAAGAGTTCATAATGAGGAGCCAGATTTGCATGTATGTGAACAATGAAACAGAAATATTAAAATTTCTGTAATATTAAAAACATTGTTATAAATGTAATAAAAGGCTAATATTATAAACTCTTTTTATGCCGAACCAAATGATGCTTATTTTCAGTTAGTAATTCTGAAAATGATGCTAATACATCTCTGTAAGCATTTATAACTTTTCAGTAAAGCGTAATTTACTGAAATAATGGTGTTATTAATAATGGTGTTAATGTATGAAAATAATTATTAATACCGTGAAACACGATTAACACATGTTCATGCGTTCGTGTGTGTTGAAAACATGTTGTTAATACTAGAAACCCTCAAATTAATTTGTTATGATTTTATATGCTTAAGTGTGTTAATATTTAACATACTTAAGAATTCTGAATGATGTAAAAATAAATTGTTATAAAATAAGACATTTAACATGCATAGTATATGAATTTGATATTTTGTGCTCTACTTCCATTATTTTTGGCAGATGAAAAAAAATTACACGAGCCAAAAATGACAAGATTGTAAATTTTATAGGAATGCATGATGCTTAGAAAAATCTTGATATTGTAAGCAATACGAAACTTGGATCATTAATATAAATATTTTACTCTCATTGGATCTCAGTGTAAGCTGTAGTGTGCTTCCCCACGTGTTTCTGGTTAAAGTTTTGTTAGCTTGGTTTGGTTATTTAATTATGGAAAAGCCTCAAGGGCTATCTGCCTAATGGGAGGGATGCCTTCGTGGAGGACTTTCTAAGCTTTCTGGTTAAAGAAACTGCGGCGTATGTGAGGAATGTTGTAAGATCTGATCGTTCTCTGTTTTGCCATTTTAAGTAAACCCTCACTGTTTTTATTTTATATTTTTTTACGTTTAATCTAGCATCTATTGCCAATATCATGCCAATATCAAATCTTCTTTGGTTATGCAAATGATTTTTTATTTATACTCCCAGACGTTTTCTGTCAGGCTGAAACAGAGTAAGGAAAGAGGAAAATGTAAGTTAGTAAAATATTTCACGAAGGTTTTACACAGCAGTGTGAAACTTATAATCAAATAATGTAGTTGCATAAACTAGATTATTTAGTGGTGTAAATTTAAAATTTTATCAAGGATTTCAGAAAAAAGGTTTAAAGAGAAATTTTCGAAGTGGAAAAAAACGATTTCCTTTCAGGATAACTAAAGCAGTCTATTAATATTGAGAATTAATGGCTCTAAGCTGTCATTGAAATTAACCATATCAGCTCTAAATTATAACTACCTATACTGTTTAAGCTCATTGACTGAATAACAGCTTATATGTAATATGAATTCGCTATTCACTGTGAAAAACACAAACAGTTGGACTGAAACATTACATGTGAGAAAACTACAACCTATTTTAGCAATATTATCTTTCGTTAAGTCATTTATTCTTTTTAAATATTGTTTCTACGCTCGCGCACATATCTATATATCTATATATTCTATACATCTATATAGTCTATTTATTTATTTATCTAACTGTACGGATTTTAGTTTGTTTTTAAAAGTCATTCAAAGCCAGTGTCAGTTGATAAAATTATCTAAGATACAAATAAAAAAATGCGTGACAAACTGAAGGAAGTTATAAAAAAATTGAAGGTGTGTAAAACATGAAGTAAAAACCGAGTATCTATCAATAGGCATATATATATATACGCATATGAAATCACTGCATTTTAAGTACTGTATTAGGTCACAGCTTGATATGCAAATAATTTATTAGTTAACACGGGGGGGGATACTTATTTCTCAGGTTTGCATAATTCTTATCGTAGTTGTTTCAAGTGAGGCAAACATTATATTTTTATCTCAAAACATTATGGGAAACAGCGTATTAAGCGGAAAAAATATAATGCATAGAAGGCAAAAATTTACCTTTTTTTTGGCCTTAAGAATATCACGTTCCGCTCTTCGTTTTATACGTAGAAATCGTATTCGTATATTCCTAATTGGTTAAAACACGTTCCTTTGTTTAATATTAAGAAAATGATATTTGTGCGCTTTTTGTTGAAATTTATGTAAAATATTACAATTTTAATTTTCTATCATAAAACTATTATGAAAACATCTTAAGCATTATTATTAACGATGGTGAAATCAGAATGGGATATATTTGCACGTAAATCACAATTTTTCGATAGCTAAATGTTTTTAATTGTAATTCAATTTTAAATATCTTATTACGTATCAGTTGGGATTAATTAGCATTTTCATTCCTTTTGATTTGATATGTCGACCGTTTGTCAGATTAATAACTTTAATCTTGCTTGCATCTACAAAATTTCCCTTTAGAAAGCTCTCCTCTTAGGCAGATACCTTTCATGTAATTTACTCTGTTCATTTATAGATAAACAAAATTCTTACAGACTTTGACTGTTTCGCCACCAAAATTATGAAAACTCAAACTTACGAAGAACGCGACTTAAAAATACAAATAAATTTGTTGAGTATATTAGCTTTTTGGGAGCATAAAAATTGAAGAATCAACTATATCCTCACCAGGGTTTGAACCAAGGTTCTTTCAGCTGCTAGCTGGACATACTAACCATTTACACTACAAGAGCACGCATAGAGGAAGACTGAAATTCCTTATAAATGTACAAACCAACCAATTAAAAACGTTGTTGTTGTTTTAGATTTATATAATTTTTTGCGTTTAACATTATAAAAATGTCAATAAATACAAATATGTTAAATAAGAACATACTGAAAATTTAAATCAAATTAAAAATATTTATAGCCTTCTTATCAAAAATTACTGTAGAATCTTAATGTGATAAAATATTAAAAATACTTTTCCACAGCCTGAAAGGCATCTAGGCTGTGAACTTCGCATCAATCCGTTCGAAACTGTTACATGCGTTTATATAAGGAAGGAATAAGGAACGCGAACACAGGCTGTTTAATTTAATGCTATCGCTTAATTCTGATTATATCTTGATATGCGTTTTTTGCTGTCCTAAACAAATTTAATGATACTCGCTAAGGATAACGATCCGCATCCAATTTGCCATTAATTCGTCTGCCGAAGACAGAGGAATCCATTACCTCAGGTCTGACTAGCGTTCTATCGGAATGATGTTTGCTTTATTCAGCTCCTAATGGCGCTATATTTTTCGTGTATTCCGAAGTGATTCCTGTATAATCCGTATCTTTCTGATACAATTACCCAAAATTTAAATCAATACATTTCATAGCGATATTCTAAAAAAGTACTTAAAACACCCCCGATAACGCATCTTTTGAAAGACAAACTACGCACTGGTATACTTGAAAAATCAGGTTTTTACTACCATATACTGTTATGTTAATGCCGAATCAAAGTGAATCTAACTTAATACATATGTGCACTGAATCAAAATACGTTTATGTTAATCAAAATTAACTACAGTATAAGAAAATTCTTAATTTTACAACTCTTTTTTTAAGATACAATACCCTATTTCATTAGAATCACTAGCCATTAGATTTATTAGCAGTATACAATAAACTATCCGAACTTCATTGAGAATAAAATCTTTTATAATGAATGTCAACGA